AAGATCCCTAAATTCAATGACTTCCACCCAGATTTATTAGATTTACTCTCTACAAGTTATTTTTTCTTTTTAATCTATTCTGATGATGGTTTTGCTGACATTTTTAGAAATCTAATATCTGCTTCGTTATCCCATTTGTTATTTACAATGATCCTGGGGGTATACATTCTACTCTTTTTACAATGAAAAAGCTGAAGAAAATGAAGGTATTTTGAAAACTGTAAGACAACGTAGCGCATTTCATTAGCCCAAGGCTTATCTAGCTATAGCTATAATGGTTCTCTCGAGCTCTACCATGCTATTAAAAGTTAAGAAGACAGTCAGAGATGGTGAGTGATGCCGATTAAGAAATAAACAAGCATTTCCCCTCAAAGCACAGCCCATGGTTGCTATCCTTAAAGCTTTGAACCAGCACATTTCTCTCTCTCCATCGGGTAGCCAGTAATCAGTCACTCTAATCAACTCTTTATTCAACTTCTTCTCTATTAGAAATTACAGCCTCCCAGGCCTGCCTTGCAAAGTTAGCTCACCCTCCCTTCCCTCTGTTGCACTGAGGCATGTTTACAACTGTAAATAAAACAAGGTATGAGCCAGTGAACACAATATCATAACAATTCAGGTTGAAACTAAAATAGAAATAGACCATTCCCCACGTTGATGGGCATTTCTTCATTTTCTACTTGTAGCATGAAAATTGACAATATCATTTAAATAAAATATGTGCTTGTATTCGCTTTGCAAAAATTTCAATTGTTCTCTTCTCTCTCTGCAAACTTGGCAAGGTTTTGTTTCATTTAAGAATAACTTATAACTTAGGTTGAAGGTTTTCTCTGTACTTAAAGGTTTTAATTATACTTCTTTCTTCAAACCTTCTTCAAACCACTCAGAATGTCCACCAAATAAAGGTGAAAATGTATTCCCATTGATTTTTGAATTTTCATATGCAGCTCCTTCATTTGGGTTACCACTCATACTATCATTTAAGAACTAGTCTGTTAAAATATGTTCCAACTAAAGCTTGGTGGGCTTTGAATCCTCAACAAAAATCATTCTCTAGAGCTAATGAAGACAGAAACTCTGCCTGTAACAATATTAAGTTTGTTTTCTCTGGTGAGTCAGAGAAGTGAGCAATCTGTCAGTAATACACTGACTGAAATTACTTGTCTTGTAGGAATAACTGCTGACAGTCACTTTATCTCAGGGCTGACCCAAACATCTCCCTGCTGACAAACAAATTACTATGTCTAACTTTGAAAAGGTAACTAGCTTGTTTTAATTTTGACTGGTCTTTCATAATCCCCTATACAAATATTCAGTCCCATCTTTCACTGTACATATTTTTAAAGTGGTAAACAAAAAGTATTAGGGGGGGGACATGTTTGAATTAAGATGAAAAAAAAAACATATCATTTGGAGCTAAGAAAAAGAACAGTTACGCTTCTTTCCAAGACTGTTATGTGGATGCCAGAAGTGTGTCTCCCCAACATTAAGACTGGCAGTACCGTCAGTGACTGACTGGGTGAGTGCGCACGTTACCCAGACAGCATTGTAGGAATTAATTTTCTTCAATAAAGTGATTTTTAAGGCTCATATATTTCACAATCTAAACATATGTCACTGTTTCATAAACAACATAAATGGATTAAAATAATACATTACCAATATGCTGACACATGGAGATATTTTAATTAGAAATTCTTAAACTGTGTGATATTTAACTACTGTATTTGCCAAAGAGAAGCATGCATCATTTAATAAGAAAGCATGAGACAGGTGTATCACTTTGCATATGGTACCAGCTTGTGTTTAATATAAGCTACAACTATGAGACAACATTACTCCCAATTAAAAACAAAACAAAATCACTTTAAGGATCTATCATATTAAAAGTCATCACAGAAAATGATGAATCAATACACTGAAACCATCTCTTTTTTTCCCATTAAAAAGAGTCATTCAGAGCTTAGTTCCTCAGACCATATTTCTTCGGAAACAATCTAACATCATAGCTACTTAAAGGCCATATTTACATGACTACCTCATTATACTGTCTCCTTTCTTTAGCATTCTTTTTGACTTACTTAAGGACCAGTGCTAACATAGCTGAGGAAAGCAAATGGCAACTGGTCTTGAAATTTATAAGGGTGAGAGAACTGAAATAAGTAGCAATATAATATATTGTTTACTGTAGCAAGTGCCCTCTGTTCTCTAAAGGTCAAAAGCATTGTAACCTTATAGTTGTACTTTCTGATGGTTCCCAGGGTTAAATACATTGTCAAAATTAATGGTTTGAGACCCTCAACATTCAGATATATGAGTATTCATGCTTCCATCTGCTGAACTATTCAACTAAAAACAGCATTCCTTGGTCTTCTCTCTCCTAATGTTGTGCCCCAGAAGCAGAGAAAACCATGCCCCAGAACAGCATAGAAGTATAAAAAAATGGCCTTTTTGTATCTTACTTATTTTAATAAAAGAACTAACTAGAATATGCTAATGCAAAGAGGGTCTTTCCATTTTAAATGTCTTGATACAAAATTTCAGGCTTCTAGGATATTACTAGATGTGCTACGATTAACCCAGCTTTGTTAATATTAGAAATAACAACCTTTGAAAGACAAATTAACTGTATCATTACAGTTAGAAAAGACCAGTTCTGAGAAATATCTTATGGGGTTTTCTTCCTGAGAATCTGCTTCTAAATAAAATCATTTAACATAATTGTAAAACTTCCTTGGTATCAATAGTTTGTCTTGATCATCATTGTTGACAGAGCTGTGACATTTTAGCTTGTCACAGGAGAAGAGAAAACTCTAGCTAAAAAAGAAGACAGAGTTTTAAAATCAACAAGGCAAGATATTAAAATTTTCTTCTGCCCTTTCTCAAAATTTAAAATGGTACTGCGTGTAGCAGGTACATATAGGCGTCTACTGTGCTACCAAACAGCATGCTGCATTATATCGGGAAAGTTGGGGAACCTGCCTTTCAAACAAGGTCAATCTTTCTAATCAGCGAACTATTCAAACAATCAGATCAAAGGTTTTCCGAAATGCTGGAAAAAGGTGAAAGACTAAAGGCAAGAGGATAGGGCAAAAATAACTCATTAAATTCTCAAACCAGCCAAATTTAAGCTGCAACATTATAAAGGTGCTTGCATCGGTGGGTTTCCTTTTTAGCCTATCTGGCATCCACTGTGCTTCTACATCAGTGCCACTAACACACTGTGCAGCTCTGGCACACTCAGGTACGACATCATGGTTTCCAGAAACCCAGCAGAAGCCAGATTTGGTACATCAGGGGGCCAGTGATTACAGTGATTTCACCTAAGTGAGAAATTAGACAAAGAGATTGGGTATAAACCTGAGTGCAGCAAGGATGATGGGATGGAACACAATACCTCAACAGATCACAGAAGTCAGAGGAGCATCTTGAGTTTGAGCCAAGACCACCTGCTTTCATAATATTAGAAGCACTCAAACACTCCTCAAACTGACTCTCAGGAGTGGGTAAGCCTACGAACTGTCCTTGCATAGGAGAGCTTGTTCCTTATGTCCAGTTCTCTCTCTCTTTGTGGCTCTGCTAGACATGGACTTCAAAATGCCAGAAACATGGCACTCTTTCCACAGCCAAGATAAAGCCTTAAAAAGTGATCTCTTCTGGATGCACAGAAGATCACAGATACTGTGTCAGTACATGTCTAGTCATGTCCAAGTGGAAACCCCCTGTCTATTGCTTATATCAAAGTAAAAGGAAAAAGAGAGGCGGGCAATAAGCTCTGGAACGCTTCCTTAGGCTATTTCCAAGGCGGCCTTTGATCTTGTCTTCTTCCTTCTTTGGAGTGATCACTCAGTCACTTTCCAAAAGAACAGGTTCAAAAGCAGTAGAAAAGATAATGTCAAAGTGAAAATTAGCATTTTCTTTTGGGGGGGGTTAAGTTACCGACCTTAGGTTAGAATACAAAATTTGGCATTATATCTCATTGGAAAATTAAAGTGAACGTCAGTCTGAGGTAACCTGTTTCCGTTCTTTTTATTATTATTATTCAACAGGCAGCTGGCAACCCTCCTATATCTGATTATCCCAGAGAGGGCTCCAATAGTACAGGGGAGGAATTAAGTATGAAATTGGAGAGAGGAGGACAGGGTCTCTGCAGCAGAAAGAGGATGATTTTCAAAAGAGCCACATCTATTATCTTTTTCCAGGGAGTACAAATATCCCATAAAACAAAAGCTTTACTGGAAAGTTAAATATGAAAAGGATATTATAGAACTTTATGGACAAAAAGCTATAAGCCTGGCTCAGATACCACCCTTCTACCTGAGAAAACTATATTAGGAAATTTGAATTTGGTAAAATTAGAAAACCTAGGCAATAACCAAACTCAGTGAATAATATATAGGCCTGTTAAATCACTTGACCCTTCGGAACCACAGGGCTCTCTATCTCTGTCTCCTTGTCTCCCTGCTCCTCTCTCTCTTTCTCTGTGTGTGTGTGTGTGTGTGTGTGTGTGTGTGTGTGTGTGTGTGTGTGTGTGTGTGAGAGAGAAAGAGAGAGAGAGAGAGAGAGAGGGAGAGGGAGAGAGAGACAGAGAGAGAGAATTATAGTTTATCAAGTTTAAAGCAACTATGTGGTCAAATGGGAGTTTTTAAATGTTTAAGTATTTGTTATACACTATAAAACACTATATATGAGAAAAAGAAAATATATAAGGGAAAGAAAGATAGTTTTAAAGACACTCAAAGAATTCATTTGAAAAAAATACTGTATATCTGGCAATCAACAACCTAGTTCCTAATCCATGGACATTGGATTGGGTTTTCTTTTTTCCTCTAAAAGAAAATGGAGCAAAGAAAAAGCCTCCTTAGAAACAAGAAAAGGGGAAATAACAGTTTCAGTAGTTAGGCCAAGTATTTGCCACTTCTTAAAAAAAAGCCTAGAATATGAAAGAACAATCCAGTCCCCCTCCCAATGAAGCAAAGCACCAAGGGAAGCATTCATACCTCAATCTGTTGGTGGTTGTAAGAGTGGCCACCACCATGTTCAAAGGTGTCCAAATTCCTGCCAAAACGGTCACTTAGGCCCTTTAGCCTTGGATTAGTTTGTGGGTGAGAGACATGAGCTTTCTGTTTAGTAGCATATTCAGAAAAAAAAGACAAAACATACTGTCAGAACTCATGAAACAATATGTGTTTCTAAATCCACGGCATTGACCATATCAAAGAATGGAAAGTGAGAGGTTTAAGACCCAGCCTCTCTGTTTTACAGAAACTTGGTTATAGGATCAAACAGTGGCACTGCTTTCTTATCTCTGCCTGTGAAACAAGAGGATATTCCATAGCTCAGCAACAAGAAAAGGAAAATAAATTAGGTTTACCAATAGGGAGTCTTTGTTTTAGCTTTTTACCAGCAGTTATAAGTTCCAAAGTTAGGGTGTAAAAGGTGAAGATTTGTAAGAGGGGCAGGGTTATCATTCCTGTTTTGGGAATGTCTTCATGCTTCCTGAATGAGACTTACAACAAAAACCTCGAATACGACAAAAATTATGTGTTTGCATGCCCAGTTGACAATGTTGAAAGTAATGGCGTTTTGGTGGTACAGTAGCTGCATCCCTTGCAGGTTCACGTCATATAGGGAATAGCCACATAGAAATAAAAATGCCTGGTCAGATGCTGTTCCCTAGATTATTGAACGAAATTCAAGAATAATCACAGTAAATTTGAAGAATAAAAACTAAATTTAATGAACTTTCTGTTGTATTAACTATTATTTTCATATCTTACCATTTTTGCTTATTATTCACCAAAATATATATTTAAAGTCTATTTCCCATTCCAGTGATAGTGTTAAAAGAATGTAAAGAACACCGAGTCCTATTCCACACTTCCCATTTTACTGTGAAGAATATGTGGTACAGACATGTTTTTCATTCGGTAACCAAGAGTCACTTTCTCTCCACAGTTTAGCTTTAAAAGACAGACTACTAATCCAGAACTCGGTCAGACACCATGCTCAGACTCTTGACTCTCGAGAGGATGAGGATCCCTGGATTTAGGAACGACGTGTTCACATTTCACCAAATAATTATCATGTGATTTGGGAATAACGACTTATTCTATGCAGCACAAGAAGGAAAATGCCCAATATCATTCTCTATTTGATGCTTATATAAGAAAAAAGCTAACAGCTAGCCATTTTTTAAAAAAAACAATAAAAATACAAACTCATCTGATAGAGAATACACAGCACTAAATTATAATGTCATTTTTCCTTTAAAAATAATAGAACCAGCATTTTTTCTCTTCAACTTGCAGTATGGTAAGTACATAAGGTGTTAATCCTTCTGAGCTATGCTTTAAAAATTATTTAACATTCAGGCCATTATTTAGCATACAGCTGGTTAGCAGTTTTCCACTAAAGTACTGGCTCATATCCCACATTTTTTTCTGGCACTTACCTGGAGCTGTAAAGGGCTGAGTCCAGAAGCAGCAGCAGCTGCCATTGTTGATGGAATGAACTGTACGGGGTAGTTATCACCTGTCGGAAAGAACAATGCATACAGGTTTAGACAATGCACAGGGAATCACAGCAGGCAAGTACAAACATGGTCCTTGGATTGCCTGAGCTTTACAACATTGCTCTAAGCCCAAACATCTGCAGAAACAAAAGGCTTAGTTGGGCACAGACTTGCAGTGCTGCCTTGGAACTTTTTGTTAACAGATAGCTGGTAGGCAAACTGGCAAAACATGAATGTGATGTTAAAAAAATTAAATGTGCAATTCAAGCATGTTCACTCCATTACAAATCTTGTAATACATCATTTTTTAAGAGTAAAAAAATATCTTAAAGCCAGGCTGACACTCAATACAATGTGAAAGCACTGAGGCTTTTCTATTAAACAACAAAAAGTTTTGGCTTGCTAGGCAAGGCAAAATATTAAGAGTCCAAAAAAGATTATTAGCTACGGACTGCCCATAACTCTTAATTTGATAAAATTTTTATTTATTTGATAAAAATGAAGAAAGCCTTTAAGAAATACAACCTCTTTCATAGAATTTTAAGAACAGCAAATCTTATCTGCCAGCATTCTGTGAAATACCTGGTATCTAATGAGAGATGAACCCATTTTTATAAATTAACCTCTAGTATCATATTATTAGAACCTAGTACATAATCACGCACACTAGGCACTGATCAAACATTCTTTGATGGTGTCTTGATTAAATAACTACATATTGTACATGGGATGCCGGTACTAATAGACTGGTACAAATCGAGCACAATTTAGCAGAGATCAATGTTACATCTTAATGTGTTCCTAACTCCAACCCAACCCTAAATAGGGGACTGAAGTACCTTCTGTAGCCTAGGAACATAGTTTCTGGCCAGAGACTCGAAGAACCAAGAAGAAATGATGAGGAACACATTGTCATAGTGTAACTGCACTAAAAATTAATATTTGTGGATAAATTACACAATATCAGTGATTTAATGGAATGTCACTTTGGCTTCAGCTTCTTATTTAAAGTCAGTGTTATGTACTTTCTCTAGGCTATCTTTTAATAGGCTGCTTCTCCACACATTTTTGACATTCATAATAATCATGCTGTTTTGCATGAGCTTTTCCACACTGAAAGCTGAATGTAATAATGAAGAGACATTGTAGAAAGAATCACAGTAAAAGAGGGCATTAACTGGAAAGTACCTCTTTTTTTCTACCTGGACACTAATACCTCGAGTCTGATGCCCCTGATTCCTTGGAACTCATCCCGCTTGATGCATGAAGTGCTACTCAGCTGGCCCAATGTAAATGTTAAGTTGCTTTCACTTTTAACAAATTGTTAGCTTCTAATCTACACAGTCTCTTTGCATCATATCCATAATACCTCATCAGACCATTGAGCACAGTGTGTGCTTGTACACAGTCCAGTAACAATTGGCTTCTGATTGCATATGGAGTGCTGCTACAATGCATTCACTAATGCTATATTGTGCTGAGCTCCTATGGAGTAATGTTCAAAATATCTGATCTTGTTTTTCCCCTTCCATGAGGTTGATTTTAGTTTGAAGTACTGTACAAGCTTTTTAAAAAGATAACCAGGCCAAATTATTTTTATAGTAAATGACTGTCACTTTATGCTTAAATAATTCAACTGATCTTCATGATTTTTAAACTAAATTATTTCAAGAAAGAATATCCTAATATAAGTCAAACAGTATTTTTTGGCTTCTATCTTAGGTTGAAAAAAAATCACAAAATGATACTGAATTAATGATGTTTCAAAAACGGGGAAAAATCATCCATTCCAACCATCAACACGGACTTCCCCTGGAACATTTTAGAGCTGTTCTTTCTTTAAATATCATGCATTATTCATACTAACTCTAAACCACAACCCCCCTCCCTGTAAGTTTAATACCAGTTGCTTTATTTGTACTAAAACATTTTTCATGTCAAACATATTTTTAAAAATCAAACTCTAAAAGAATTCCCTGGGGCACTCCTTTTTTTTCATAGCTGTCATGCTTCTCTGCTATGAAATATCTGATTTTTTTTAATATAGTTCTTGGCCTGCCAGTTAATTTATTAGTATCTCTACCACACCCTGTAGTACTCTCCAGCTCACCTGCTGGCTACAAACAGTTTTATTTCCACTGTTGTCAAGCATATTTTTAAAACATTTTTAACCTTTCCCGGGGTTTGAATCTGCATATCTGAATATGTCTTTAGAAAACTATTTTTCTAGAACACATCATTGTATCAATACTAAAAGTAAAAATGAATATATTAGAGCTACAGAGATATCACAGAAAATGTCTAGAAGAAAGAGAAAAGGGAAACGCAACGGAGAGAGATGTGGGTTAAAAGTAGAAGAGAAATTTGTAAGAGGGAGAGGGATTTGAGGATTTAAACATGAAGTTTAGTTTTTTTATAACAAAGGTACATGATTCCTCAATCACCTCTAATTCTCTCTGTGGATGAGTTGATCAAGTAAAGTTCTTAGTGGCTGACTTGGCAAGGAATCAGCCCACATGTCACTGCAATTTTTTTCAAATTTGCCTCTGAGTTTGAAACCCTTGCGTGAGTACCCATTCTTTTAAAATTTGTACAAAGGAAGATGAAGCCTGTTAGAACAGGTTGGCTTTAGGCACTACAATAATCTGGCCCTTGCTAACTCTCATATAAGGCAACCTCAAAAAACAAACTTGGGAAATAATACCCATTTTTTTAAATCCATCTTTCCAGCCTTTTGGATATTCTGACTATTTTTTATCTGGATTTACACAATACAAGACTCAAAACCTATGGAAAATCTGCTTGATATTAGTTTCACTTGTCAGAATAGGCAACAGTCCTTTAGAATCAAAACAGCTCCACTGATAGAGTCCCTAAATAGGAAAAAGTAAATCCTTAAATTTTAGAGAAGCTGCAATGATGCCAAAACTTAGTAGGACTTCACCACATGAGAAAAAGAGTTTGTACCAAGAACGTAGGATCCATTAGACTTGGGCTACCTCCTGCAACAAGATTCTTAATACAATTCAGATATAAATTCTACTTTTTTAAAAGAGCCAAAAATCTCATGGGTAAAATTCTACCCATTTACTTTCATTCTTCAGAAAAAGACTTGTACTATTCTGAGATATTAACTTCGGGTACTAACATGCTACAGAGGTCATTTGGAGAGACTGAGTATAGTAGAAAAGAAAAAAAAAAAAAACAGAATTAGGAGACAGAACTCATGGATTCCTTAGTAGCTTTCCTCAAATGGGAATCTAGTGTCATACCTAATTTTCCACCCTTCAAAATAGGAGACAATTATGCTACATATTGTTAACTATCTCATAAATTTTGGTGGTGGCATTATAGATGATAATAGTTGACAAAAAGCCAACAGCCATCTTTATGAGCTATTATCATTCTTCCTACAATATGGAAAATCTGAATCACAGCCACTAATACAAACAGATATATGTATGGGTCTTGCCTGGATGGACTACTTGGAATAGTAAAACATTATACATACTCTATAATCTGAGGGAATATTATAAGACTGAATCTATCTTTGTGCAGCATTACATTATTGTCAAAGCAGGAATTATGTGATACATTTAGAATTCTAAAAATAAATTCTTCATCTTCTTGCAAGGACAAATAGATCACAAAATTAGAAAAGAGTATGATACATATTGCTGATATCACCATGTTTATTATCCTGCTAAATTTTTCCTTTTCTATTCATCAAACATTGACAAGAAGAGTTTTTGATCCCAGGATTTTTTTTCTAAGATTATCTGTATTGTTTTTCATACAAAAAAACAATAGAAAGAAGCCAAGTTTTAATCTTAATTCCTTCACTTACTTCATAGATGCATCCAGATCCTTTGAAGTCACTTGGAAATCCAAGAAATTTGTCACAATGACAATTAAGTATGAATGAACTGACATAAATCTATCCTCATTATAAGAAATCAATTGCTAAAAAAAAAACAAAGCTCACACCTTAATGATAACCATCAATTATATAGTCTTCATATATGAAGACAAAGTTAAATAATTCTTGACATAAATAAAACTGGTTTAATTTACACAGCTAAACATATCTTCCTTCTGACATCAACATTATATTTAAAACTGGGGATACTAATTGAGGCATTGTAGAAATGTCTTATTTCCTACTAGATTAATTTAATTGATCAAATATTCCAATATTGGTTGCCTCTGCTTTGAAATATTCTGGGAAAGAGAAAAACCTGCTTACAACCTTTCACATAAAAATCATATTTTTTTCCATAGCGAAAAGTCAGATAATAATTTTCTTAAGATCACACATAGTCCATGTTCGCAAATGTATGAAACATCAAATCAGAGAGCTTTAGTCTGAATTTTATCACCACTATTTTCTGGATGTGAAACCCTTGGAAAAGTTCATTAATATTTTTGAATTTTAGTTTCTTCTTTTCTTTTGACAAAGTAGAAATACTGCTACTTAATACTTCTTATATCTTGTTATGCAAATTGAGACTACTCAAACACGTGAGGGTTTCTTGGCAAATCAATGGTGCTCAAAAACAGTAACATTAGATAACAACTGAAATGACTGTAGATAAACCAATTAAACCACTTAGAAGGAGCAGAAAAATTCTTCAAAACACAGAAATTACCTAACTGCCTCAATTTGAAGTAGAAACTCCCATGGAACTATAACAAGTAAAGAAATTGAATCAGTAATCTAAAACCTACCAAAGCAAAGAAAAGCCCTGGACTAGATGGCTTCACCATGAATTCTGACAAACATTTAAAGAAGAATTAACACTAATCCTTCTCAAACTTTTTTTAAAAAAGTGAGGAGAAAAAAATTCTTTATGTGTTCTATAAGGTCAAGATTATCTCAAGATAAACATATCATAGGAAAAGAAAATTAAAAGAATAAAATTCCTTATGAATATAAATTGTAAAATCCTGAACAAAATGTTAGTAAATAAAATATAATGGAATATTAAAAGCTTTAGTCATCATAACAAAGTACAATTTA